TAGGAACTTATATAAAGCAATTAACAGATCTGAAAGTATTAGCATGTGATTCTGGTATACTTGAGGAATTTGATAAAAATTTTCAAAGTTTTCACGTAAGAGAAAATGTTCATTATCTGTTTGTTTTTAATTAAAGGAAAATTTATTATTGACATTTCCTCATTGATTCTATTATATTTTATGTTACATATAGGTATTAATTGGAACGCCAAAAATCTACGCACAACTAATATCAGAAAATAAACTTTTACCATGTCACATAAATCTAGTCATAGTGGACGAATGCCACAAATCTATTGAAGATAACAATCTAAAGTTTGTTCTTCAAACTTTTTTGTTGTATAATAATGTTCCTAGAATAATCGGACTAGCGGTCCCAGTGTTTAATTTGACACAAGAACCTGGAAGATTAGGCCTAGAGATAGAAAAAGTAGAGGCTACCTTTCAATGTGCGGTAGAAACCGCTAATGACATTCTTTCGGTAATACGGTAAGTTTAATAATTTGCTAATATTGTTCTTACAAACTGACAATGTGAGAATTACTTTTAGTTATAGTCCAAAACCAAGAGAGTATGTTGTGGAATATGATAAGGGAGAAAATAAAGACTTGTATAATATGCTTAAAAGCTGTGTATTACATGCTATTGAATTTTTACGCGATCATCGGTATGATCCAATGGAGATTTATACCGAAGAATTTTATGAGGATATTCAAAAAATTCCCGACCCCATACAGAAGCCTTTCGAAATGATGCAAGATTTTTTGCACATATTAGAAACTCTTGGACCGTGGTGTGCAGATCGCGCCGCACTGACTTTACTATTTTTAACAGAAAAACTGAAGATTAAAACCCCTTATGAAAGGCATTACCTTCTTTTAAATATGATGACATCTGTTTTTATAAAAATACGGCAAGTATCGTAAAATGATGAAAACGTGATATCGATACACGCATTTAAAGAGCTTTAAATATCAACTTACTAAATTTATCAAATTATATGAATTTTATAGTGCTCTTTGTGATAATGAATTTCAACATTTATCCGAGAGAGAGAGGATATATCAATATAGTACTCCAAAAGTTCATCGACTATTGCAAATTTTAAAAATTTACACTCCTTTTTATACCAAAGAGGCTAGTACTCCAGAGAAAAAGACAAGCGCTGGTAAAAATCTTTTCCAATCCGCTTCTAAAATATGTATAAAAAGTGTACAATAATATATTTTTAAGCATGTTTAAGAATATATATTTTCTTTAGATCATGTATTTAATTCAAAGAATTGTATCACCAGGAGTGATAAAAATATCTCTTTCTCAAGAAATCAGGAAAAATCTGCACAATTGAAAAAGTTTGGAAATAATTGGAAGTCTAACATGGATGACAATTACAAAAGGACTTTCAAGTCGCAACGTTATCCCTGTAACAATACAGATCCTGATCTGCTCTGTGGAGTAATTTTTGTTGACAGAGGATTTACAGCTAAAGTTTTATTTTATCTATTAAGCGTATGTATAAAATTCTATGATATTCTATGACAATTATTTTATTTATTAAATATGTATAAATGCTACGATAATTATATAAAATATCCTGTAACTTGTTAATTATTAATTTCTCATAGGAAATATGCAAACATGACGAAGATTTGCATTTTTTATCACCTCTCTATACAGTTGAAAGAAACACCGATGACATTGGTTACTCAAGAGATTTGGAAATGGAACATAGAAAACAGGAAGAAGTGTTAAAGCGATTTAGAATTCACGAATGCAACTTGTTAATTGCAACTTCAATTTTGGAGGAAGGTTTGCGAAAACTTTTTATCACCCGTTTGTATTGGGCGCTGAACATATATAGTAACAAACAAAAAAAATGTGTATTTAAACGTACATATATGTTTATATATTTTTTATTATCATAAATTTTATATTATTTTTACTTTTTTATATTTGTTTACATTCTTTTTCAAATTTTTTCGAAATGTGTATCATAGATTTGATAGACATCGTCCTCCTAATAAGATATATCTTGCAGGCATCGATATTCCAAAATGCAATTTTGTGATGAGATATGACTTTCCAAAGAATTATCAGTCTTATATACAATGCAAAAGTAGAGCAAGAGCCATAGATGCCTTGCATGTATTATTGGTATCACAAGAAGCATCTAAAGAATTTATATGGCAATTAGCTCAGTATCAATATATAGAAAAGGTAAAATTTATAAAATCTGATTTTCTATCTAAAATCTGATAATCTATCTTGAATAAAATTTTATAAAGCTTTTCTGTTACCTCAGCGTAGTCGTTCTCAAATTATGATGTTTTAAGCGGGAAAATATGCGAGAAATTTTCCTTGCTACAACGAAGTTTAGTTAGCTTATTTCTTTCCTTTTCCGTATGCCATTGTTTGCGTTTGAGAGTATATAAATTAATGAATTATTTCAAGAATTCCTTGTTATTTCATGTTTCTCTTTTTTGTAGTAAACGCATTATGCATTATTATACATTGTTTATCCTATATTATACTGATATTTTTAGATATTTTGTGTTTGCAACAACTGTTTATTAATTTATAGAAACGTGAATGATGGCACGCGGAAAAAATTATTTTTATTTCGGCATATATAATACAAGAAAAAGATTGGCACGATTTCTCGCATTTGACATCGCAATTTGCAATATGGCTGCAGTGAGAGAAAAATAAGAATCCTAATTAATTCATTTGTATTCGGGCTTGTCTTTTCAATTTATAGTATTTTGCAAACGTTTTACTTGATTTATTCGTAAACTTCAGTGCGTACCAGTTTTCTTATCAACCTTTAATGTGGTTCATTATCTCTGTGCCAACCTCAGTTGAAAATTGTAATGGAAGAGCATCAATCTATTTTGTAGACTTTATTATTAAAATGTTCTAATAAAGAGCTAACTGAGGAAGAAGAAAATGAAGCAGACATATATGCTACGATGATACCACATTATAAACCGCTTGATGGCGATGATACTCCTAAAGTAACTTTTAATTCTGCCATTTCATTAGTCAATAGGTAACATAATATTTTACATCATTAGTGATTGAAAAACAGTGTTATAAGAATTGTTGAAAACATTTAAATTGCTGGTATTAATGTTACAAATCATATAGGTATTGTGCAAAATTACCAAGTGATACTTTCACGAGATTAACACCAGAGTGGTCTATCAAAACCGTGGATGTTCAGGATACAAGGATGTACATTTGTTTCCTGCGACTTCCCATAAATTCACCGTTGAAATATGTAGTTACGGTAAATAGCTATATATGTATATAGAATATATAAAAGACTATGATGGATAAGGGATGTTTTTTTTTATTATTTATTTTATTATTCGAGACAATGTTTGATGGGCAAGAAGATCACGAAATGAATTATGCATCTTTAATTTGTAATGTTTTAATTATATCTATATACATATAATATATAGTATATATAAAATATTACAAATGATATATAATATCGCGCGATATATGGCGCGCGTACACATATCACATTCTTTCTTCATATTATAATCTATTTTTTTGTAATTTTAAATTCAAGTTGTACAATGAAACAAGATACGTTGGATATTTATTTAATCTTGTCATTTACTTTCTTTTACGTAGCTTACGTAGAGACTAGTACACATTTTTTCGTCTCGATTTTTATTTTTGTTCTCGAGCAATATGAATGCTTTCTCAACACTCTATTTTTTGTTAAGAAAAAATGAATTTCATTTTTGTGATTGAACCAAAAACTGCAAAAGAGGCAATAGATTTAAAGAATATTCTTTTACATATGACTATTTATATATACTACATTTTTTCTTTTATCGCATTTTAGTCGTATCCGATGCCGAATAGAGCGATGGCCAGACGTATGGCTGCTTTGCAAATGTGCATCGATTTACATCGAGAAAATGAGATAGATGATAATTTGTTACCTATTGGAAAGGAAAATTTTAAAGCCAAACCTGAAGATGCGGAAGTACCTGCCTTGCCAGATGAAAGCAGAGCTGACTTTTCAGAAGCTAGGCCGGGGACAACAAAACGGAGACAATATTATTATAAAAAAGTTTATATCATTTTTTTCAAACTTCTATTCTTTCTTTCTCACAATTCAATAGATAATTATTTAAAATTTATATTATTTTTTTCAGACTGCCGAAGCATTAACGGATTGTCGGCCAATAGTAGGAGTACCATCTTACTTGTATCATATTAATATGATATTAAGTTGTCCTTTACCCGAGGAACAAAATACGCGAGGCAGACGTATTTATCCTCCTGAAGAATCCGCCATTGGATTTGGGATACTTACATTAAAGGAGATACCCAAGGTGATAATTTCTTACATTTGTTGTTTTCGAGCTTTCCACTCATTTTCCTATTTCTTCATAATAATTCTTTTAACGTGTATGCTTATAAGTTCTTCTTCTTGTTACAGTTGTGTCCGTTCCCTATTTATACTAGATCAGGTGAAGTTCACGTGCAATTAAAACTTAGTAAGGAAACTGTAATTCTCGATGAGATCCAGATAAAAAGAGTCGATACTTTTCTTAATTATACCTT